TCCTTGTAGAAAAGGCTAGGTAGGACCTGGAGGTCCCTGTGGGGGCCCACGGTGAGGTTCAGAAGCTGGGAGGACACAGAGCTAGAAGGGAACCAAGTTCGAAGGGACAGGCCTGGCTCATAGGGCCACTTCTCATTGGTTTCTTTTTGTTGTCAGAGTGAGGATGTTTGGCGAAATTCCGAATACTCTTATAGACAGATGACCTCAAATCACAATAGTTCCCTGTTCCATACTACACACGGTCCCTTCTCTTAATTGTGGTTTCGCAAAGTCTTGGATGGATGGATGGATGGATGTAAATTTCTAGCATTTCATTTCCCGGATTTGTAGTCAGATTGGTTAAACCTCGGGATGGGGGGAGGAGAAAAAAATGAAAGAACTTGTTTATCCTTCATATGGTTTCCCCATCTGTTGGCGTTTTTCTCGTATTGGTTTTATCCTTATACAGTCATTTCCACTATAGCATGAAATAATGTGTTCCGGAAGCTTTCTGCTAAGGAAATTATCGTGTAGTGCAAGTCAATTTCGCGAGAAAAGTGAGAGCCCTCAGGAGCATCAGAGATGTGGCCGAAGAGAACCAGGCGGCAGGGGGAACCCAGGAGGAGCAGCAGCAGGGCAGTCTCCTGTATGTGAGGTGGATAAGGAGTGCGTGCCTGCTGTGTAAGGATGCTATCCTCTGTGGAACCTGCGGCTTGCCTGAGGAGGCGCATGTTAGGGGGCAGAGCGGGCGGATTGTGCCGAGGTAGGGCTACCCGGGCTCAGATGGAAAGCTGTGATACTCGTGGGGTAGTGGCGGCTCCCAGCACATACCAGGGGGAGGCTGGGGAAGGAAGAGCAGTAGTTAGTGTTCATTTCTCCTTCATGACTCGAGTCTTCTGCATCCCCGTGGTTGGCATCATGTGGAAAATCACTTGGAAATCTCCACCACCGAGTCCCCCAAGTTATCAGGTAACTTTTCAACACTGTCTTAAGATACCTGGCGCAAAGAGCTTAAGTAAGACTGGGCTCCATTTCTAGTTTCAGAGGTTCGGGTCAAGCGCCTCTACCCACGGGCCATCTCTCCTGCCCGGCTTTAGAATTAATTTGTCATTATTTATTAAATGCCTGGCTGGACTCCTTTTTTAAAAAATTGGGATGTCATTGACTCAGATAACAGAAAATAAGGAATTCTTTGTGTTCAAATTGTTCCCCAGTCAGCTGCACTGGCCCAAGCTTAGCAGGCATTGTAAAATGGCATTGATTTTATGTGGATTTAAATATGCACCCCCCAACTGTTTGAAAATAAGTTGCAGTGATGTTTAAAAATCTTACTCCTAAATGATTAAGAATGCACTTCCTCAGAGGAAGGCAGTTTTCCTGTCTAACCACAATGTCATTACCCCTGCTAGGATCATCATCACTGATTCATCAATTAGCTGTTTAAAAGGCGTGCTTGTTCCTAAGAAAGCTGTATTGTTCTGTTTGTTTTGGTTTTACTGCCCTCCCTCTCTCGTCCCAGGAACTGAGCTATGTTGGGATGTGGGAAAAACAAAATCGAGCAAGAGTTCCCTTCTCCAGCCTTTCAGGGTCTAAGACGTTACCAGAGCGACAGGCGTCCTAGGTGCGATAGGCTGGGATAAGAGCCATAGGAGCTGTGTCTGCTTTCCTAGGAGTGTGTCAGCAGAAACGAGCTCCATCCACCCGGCGCGGTGTTCTGAAGCCTCTGCCCTGTCCGCGATCCCCGCCCCCCCACCTGCTTCTGATGTTCCTTGCTGCTAACCCAGAAGGGCTTGTCTCTGAAAGAAAAGGGCACAACAGACAGGACATCCTCCCCTCTTTGGATTCCCTCGGGGTCTGTACAGTGACGTTTGGGCAGGGACAGAGCTGCAGTGAAGAGGACCTTGAGAACCAGGCTGAGGGACAGGGACCGTGTCCTCTAGGCCCGCTGTGTTAAGTGGAACATGGACCTGTTCGTGAATACCAGGCATCTGATAGCTATGGAAAATCAAGATAGGATCCATCCCTTTCTCGTGTATGTAGTAGCCTGCCAAAGACTGAAATGTCGCCCCAGGTCTATGTGGCCCACCCAGGGACCAGAGTTCATGCTGGTTTACAGCTGTGTTTTCCATATCATGACATCACCCACGCCCCTTGCCAGGCAGCGTGATGGAGAGAAGGGCAGCGCGTTCCTTCCCTTTCGGGCACGTTTTGGAAGCTGAGTGTCTCACTTCTGTCTGCATCCCACACCTACGTGCGGGAAGGGCTAGAAAACAGTCTCCACTGGGAGTCCGTGTGCCAGCTAAAAATAGCAGGTTTTAAGGATGGATATTGAGGGGCAGCTCGCAGTACCTGCTATGCCAGCATGTCTGAAGACACCAAAGGGACTTTCAATAAAGTTAGTCCCTGAAAATGCTCCATAAAAAATACAATTGTTGCAAGCCATATTGATTCATGCCTATAAATTTAGGGCCATGGCTAAAAGTATTTGTTCACACCATTCTTTTCTTTGAGAAGCCCTGTTCACATTGATTGACTTTGGGACTCTTAAAGGTTCCTGAGTGAAACAACAGGAACATGTGGGAATTGTACCAGTCAAGCTTCAGATAAAGAAACAGCCGCTGCACCGTGTATAACAGGATTGCCACGGGGACTAGATCTTGTGTCATGTGGGGACTGACTAGCCGGTCCGTGTAAGACTGCTGTCTGCATGGAGCTTAGTGTCTCGGGTGTAGATGGATGTGAAGGAGGACGTGATCTTGGGGAGGAGGAGGCAGACGGGACCAATGGAAGTGGATGGGGGACCTAGGTCAGTCTGTCACTGCCCCTGGCTTTGTTCCGAGACAGCCCTGGCTGACCTGGGCCTTAACCTTATACTCGGAGATCTGCCTGCCTCTGCCTCCCAAATGCTAAGATTAAAGGCGTGGGCTGCCGCGCTCACCCAGTTGCTCCTAGTGTTGGTGACGTGGGTGTCCTATAGGAGAAGCTGCTGGAAAGATGGCTCAGCGGTTAAGAGCACTGGCTGCTCTTCCAGAGGTTCTGAGTTCAATTCCCAGGAACCACATGGTGACTCGGCCGTCTGTAGTGGGATCTGATGCCCTCTTCCGGCATAAAGTTGTACATGCAGATAGAGCATATCCATAAAATAAATAAACCCGAGGGGGGCGGTCCTTTGTGGAAGATAAACCACCACCGCCCGGCTGCTTACAAAGCTCAGGTCAGGCAGGAAGCCTATGTACCATCAGCAGGCCTGGCTGCTGTTCCCGCCTCAGGCTGAGGATGAGCAACAGTTGCAGGAAAGCTGCTGAATGCCCCAACACCAGCCTTCCAACCACCTTCAGCTTTCACCTGGAAACACGCATCGACTGGAAGTCTGAGCCGTGCAGTTCAGCCTACTCCGGAAAGTGCCTTCAAAAGCCAGGCCGGGCACTTCCCGGATGGCAAGCAGAGTTGTTCACAGCCGTGCTAGTTGTCACATCTGTTACTGAGCACTAACCTGAATGGGCATCGATAGTTTTACGTAGCTTAAGTGCTACACCCCAATGGTAGAAGGGAGGAGTGGATGCACCGTTCTTATCACCATAGGTGAACAAATAATGAGCAAAGACGTAACAATGGTTGCTTTTATAAAATTTGAGAAAGGCCAAGCTGGTTCAGGGCCGTGGTTACCCTCACAGGATGGACCTGGAGGGCTCCCAAGAGGTGCTCCTATGTGCGTGTAATGCTCTTAATGCCTCCCGGCCTTCCTCTGCTACCTGTGCAGGAATGCTGCTTTGGAAAAAACTTAGTGTGTTGTGTAATTTATACTTAATGCTGGGCTTCAGCACAAAGTTTAGGTAACTTAAGTTCCCTCAAGGTGTAAGCAGCTGTGGGCTGAGGAGCTGAAAGGAGTTAGGCGAGCCCCATCAAGAGTGGGGTAGAGCTTAGGGAGAGCAGCTCAGCTCTGTGTAATATGCACAGAACCCTAGGTTGGATCCCTTGGATTTAGGATGGATGCTCATATAATAAAGGAAAGGATGTGGGAATGTGGGGAGACTTGATGCTCAGGAAGCTTACCTTTACTCTCTCAACACTTCCAGTGAACATGGTTCCCCATCTTTAACCAGCTAACAGAGTGTCATTTTAGCCTTTTCTGTTTTATGGCATTGTAACTCCCTTCTTTTCAGCTTTTTTTGTTTGTTTGTTTTCTCCAGTGAATTCCTTAGTTGGACAGAATTCTTTTCTCCAAAATAGGTTATTTTTGAATGTGACTTGGGCTATTGAGTGGCGGGAGTGGGGGGGGGGGGGACTGGGTGATCCTCTGTGTGGTCTGTGGCGGTGGCGTGTGACTAGACTGTGTGCGTGTTCTCTGACGACCCAAACAGTTATCTGAAAGTGGTAGTGGCTAAAAATAGTTGGTGGTGTTTTTAGAGTCTAAAGGAAAAAAAGACGAGGACTTGGGATGTTAATCAGTTTGCTCCAAAAGGAAAGAAAGAAAGAAAGAAAGAAAGAAAGAAAGAAAGAAAGAAAGAAAGAAAGAAAGAAAGTAGCTGACACCTGTGCAGAGCTCACACTCCCTCTGCTTGTTGCTGGATCCTAACACCTCTCCAGAATCAGACCCTCTCCCTCTCCCTCTCCCTCCCCCCCCCTCTCATCTGTCTCAGGAATTATGTCTTACTCTTCAGTTTCCAGCACCTAGCTTAGCAGACACCCAGAAACTAGTTATGAGTGACCGAGCCCCGAGATTGCTGAAGGGAAGAACTGGGAGCCGATCCTTGGAGAAGACTGCATCTGGGGGGGGATGAGAAGGGGCGGTATGCTGACCTGAGCCCCTCAAGCAGGGGATGGGGGTCTCTCCGCTGCCCCCTCCTGGTCCTCTGGTGTAGTTCATCACGAGCTGTGATGGGATGAGCCCGTGAGCATCTGTCTCCTCACCAGGCGCCCCAATCATCGTCTGCTCAAGCAGAACATTCCGGAGAAGCAGTGCGTGCTGGGCTCTGGGGCGCTCTTCTGTTTGTTTTAACCCGATCCCCCTGTCCCTACAGGAAACATGGTTGAATGGTGCTTGCCGCAGGATATCGACCTTGAAGGTGTGGAGTTCAAGTCTATGGCCAGTGGGTCCCATAAAGTTCAGTCTGATTTCATGTGAGTACCTCTGAACCCGTCCTGCTCCGCTTGATCCCCCCCTCCCATGTTCCCCAGAGCGTCTTAATCAAGAGGTGTCTTCAGGCCGTGCAGGCACCCATTCCGTGCTTATCCAGCTTCCCGGCAAGAAGGGCTCCGGCTCTCAAGCTTGCAATGGGTCCTGACCCCTCCCGAGCTCACAGCTCCTACAGTAGAGGTTCCGCTACTACTGAGCAATTGTGTGGCCCTCATCGGGCTTGGTTGTAGTGTGAGAGAGGAGTTTCAGTTTAGAGTGGGCTGACCTAAGACACCTATATGATAAACTTGGAGTACCAGCTCTTCCAGCAGGCCTGTTTCTAGCACTGTGTCAAGGGTGCAATGTGATTTTTCATGAGAAGCCAGTGAATATGCTTTGATGATGACGATTTGTAGCTTCAAACTCCGCAATGGGCCGAAGCCAAGTGTGTAAATGGGAAGGAAGTGACGTGTCCGCCTCATTGGGGCTGTCAGAGGCCAAGGGAGTGAGAGAATCGGGATTTATGCTGAGAAACGGAGCCCCAAAGGAGCCTGGAGGTCACCCCTGGTTCTGGCTCTTCCACTGATGCCGTGAGTTGCGCCAGAGAAGATACCAGGGTCTGTGGCGGTGGGTATTTGAGTTGGCATGCCCGTAGAGACCACATTGCTAACTCTAGCCCTTGACTCTGGCATGACAAGTTCTGGAGTCTTGGAGACTTAGCCTCTCCCTGGGAGAGCAAATAACTTTTCTTTTTTTTTCCCCCCTGGATTTTCAAGACAGGGTTTCTCTGTATTGTTTTGGAGGCTGTCCTGGAACTAACTCTTGTAGACCAGGCTAGCCTTGAGCTCACAGAGATCCGCCTGCGTCTGCCTCCCAAGTGCTGGGATTAAAGGCGTGCGCCGCCGCCGCAGCCACCACCACCGCCCGGCTGCAAACGACTTCTTGCGTGGATGAACTTTCTTATTTGGAGCTCTGAATATAGCTGTTTGGACCGAGATTACATTGCAAAGTGGGGAAATAAAAAAACCGGAACTGGAGCCACAGCGCATGCTTGATCTATTTCAGTTATTTCCGGAAGGGTCCCTTCTTTGGCCTCGCGTGCTTTGCCAACATGCCCGTGGAGAGCGAGCTGGAGCGCGGCGCACGGATGAAGTCCGTGGGTATCCTCTCTCCGTCCTACACCCTGCTGTACCGCTACATGCACTTCCTGGAGAACCAGGTTCGGTAAGTGGCTTCCTCGCGTGGCTTTCATGTGTTGGGGATGCCGCAGGGTCTGAGAGCTGGTGCCTGTCAGCGAGGAGTCCCTGGACACGGAGGCGGTGGGCCAGGACCTCAGGTGTCTCTCCTATGGCATCTGTGGCTCTGGTACTCAAGCCTCAGCTGGTACTCCCTTCTTCCAGCAACCGTGACATTAAAATAACTCCTTATCCTATAGTGAAGGCTGGGGAAGATAATTTGCTTTCAGTTTTTATTGATACTCTCGTCAATCTTAATCGAATTTATTTTAATTAGACACGAATGTGATCTTCGTTTACACTCAGCTGCTGTATGTAACCTTTTTGTTCCCCAGGTAGGCAGGTAGCCTTTAAAAATTGTTTTATGTCAAATCACTTATTATTTGGGGGTAACGGGAGTATTTTATATATATATATATAATATATATATAATATAGATACATTGCATAATGCAGGTAACCCAACTGAACTTCAAACAGTGCTGGAGAATCTTCTCTCTAGTTCTGGAAGCACCATTAAAATGTTAGTCTTTTTTTTTCTGCTATGTATATTTTGTGTGCTTTGATAAAATAAGCTTAACAAGTGGGCACAGTGGTACGGTAGAAAGCCCAGGAAATAAAGACTTTAAGTTTGCATTAGTAGCAACATAGCAATGACTTATGTGTCACACGTACAACATATCCAAGCGTGTGTGTGTATAGTGTGTGTGTGTATAGTGTGTGTGTGTGCGTGTGCACACGCGCACTTGGCATAGATACTGTATATAAGCTATTTCCCTCTATGCACTGTTCATTCATTGGCTCATTTGCAGCCCAGGCTGACCGTTTCATTTGCAATTGTATAGGATGCCAGGCTTTTACAATGAGTGATGGGATGGGACCTACAGCCCTCATTGCTCTTAACCACAGAGCCTCCTCCACAGTGCCCCGGTCATGGCTTAAGTCGATGTGGCTTATGACAGTCCATGTCCTTAGGCTGTCTTTCCTGCCTTCCTTTGGATGGTAACTCTGTGTCTCACATTTTATCCTTGTGTCTGACTCCCCCCATCTGTCTAAGAGTACCGTGGGGTGAGCAAGAATCTGAACTACTCTTGGGTACAGAGGAGTTGACTTTCCCAGCCTTACTGCAAGATCTAAACCAGTGGATTTTAAGAGATGACCAGCTTTCTCT